TTGTTATAATTCTGGTACTCAAAAAGCACCAGGAGAAAACTGATCTTAAAAGATTCATTCTAGTTTAGCTTAAGGTCTAAAGTGTCTTATTGAAGGATACGCCTAAAATTCTTGCTATTAGAGCAGCTTCAGACTCTGTACCTCCGAATTAAGGATTGAGGTCATAATAATTTTCCACCCCCTGCAGGTTTATGAAAGAATGTGCTCCTGCCACCACAGGAAAGCATTCTCAAACATCAGTGTGCGCAAAAAGAACAAAAGTTGGGCATTTTCTAGTGTTGATTGACAGGAGGGGAGATTGTTCATGCTACAAGAAGAACACAGAAGATAATATTTCACCCCTGAAAAGCTACTCTTGTCAGAGACAGAAATTCACAATACCCTTTATAGTTGGACATCTTTGAGAGACACTACAACTTTGGTGAGCCAACAGGAGTTAATCAGTTTGTTTCTTTGTTCTCCTGGGTGGGAGAAGTATTTTTCCCTTTGGAATTACTGAAGCAGAACTGACAACAGATAGCTATTTGGTGAGCTGAAGAACACTGTTAGGAATACATGATGCTCAAAGGCTTTTTAAAAATCTTTGTCTATCCCAGACACCAAAGTAAAATCAAACTGAGCTGATCCCAAGTTTCCAGTATTCTATTAAGAAATAATAACATTATCCTAGACAAGCCAGAACGTAACTTAGCCCCTCACAATTCTCAGTCTGAAGGTAGGTAGGCACACTCTGAGGAAATGTCTCTGAAAAGAAGTTAAATTGCCACAATCTTATTGAGCTGCTTACAGCACTGCTCTGGATTGCCTCCCTCCTGCAAGCTTAATATCCTCTAATATCTGTTGGTTCACTCTTACTGCCACGGGTGCATTTGGCTTGCCCAAAAACATGAACATGTGCAAGAATCTCTCCTCTGACCTGGGGATATCCTATAGAATGGGGCAAAATCAGGCTGCCTGGCAATGCTCCAGAAGAGCAAAATGGACAAGCACCTAGGCCAGCAGAAATATTCAAGTGTGTTTTCTCCTTGAAACAAGCAATAAGCTACTCATGGGAATCTATCAAGGCAGGCCATAACAGCAAGCTAGGAGAACGCTTTGCAAATCAGCTGCAACAAATTTGTGTCACCTTAGATCACCAGAAGGATTTTGTTTTGTTAAAACAAACAGAAGCACAAACCAAAAACACAGATGAATTAAATAAACATTTTCTGTCCTAGGCACCAGAACTAGGCTGGATAAACAGGTCGACCAGCCGAACTTGCCAGTCCAGTTAAATCTTAACAAATATTTCAGCATTATTTTAGCCAAAGACAACTTTATGCGCAAATGTCTTCTTGTTCCCCCTGTCAGATTACTAAGATGATGTTACGTGAAACCTTTAAGTAGAATATGACTTCAAATTGTATTTGATCAGTTGAGTTATATACGATGATACATACTAAAATAGGGTAAAGTTTCTTATGGCATTAAGGTAGTTAAAATCCTTTCAAAAATTCAGTGAGGTTTGGTCATCTACATCCCTTTGGCTCCTTGGAACTCTGCACTCATTACATTTAAGCAGTTTTTCTGAAAAGTTTTGTCTCTATAACCCTTTATCAGCCTCCCTTGTTCCCAAATTGGGATGTGTGAGTGTGTGTAAGAAAAGAAAGTCAACTTGGGTGAAGGTGGCAGAAAGCGTTTAGCATTATTTTGAAACTTCCTAGAGTTTCCTCTAAAGAGCACTAACATTATAAAAAAGCCATAAAAGCCAGGGTCAATCACAAAGCAGAGGTTTGCAAGGAAGACAACTACTGTGAGAAACCTATATGAGCACGGTGCAACAGCTGGTAATCTCCAAGAGAGGGCAGTCTTAGACTGGCGATGGTTCGCAGACAAGGATTTATTGTTACACCTGTTTCCTGCCCCCTTTTTACTGTATGTATCTAAGAAGCTCAGGGTTTAAATAGCACTGTCCGTCAAAAAAAAAAAAAAAAAAAAAATTGTCTAGGCAAACGCTTAACAGTTAACCTTCTTCAAGCTTCAAAGGGGAGGGGAATATTTCCTTTCTACTGCACATGGATCTCAGTCCAAGAAAAAAAAAACAAAAAAACATTTAAGCACATGCTCATCTTCAAATATGTGATTAATCCTACAGCGGTCAGCTGCACTGTCTCTTGCTTCAGAGTTCAGCAGCAGTTAGATCAAGGTGAGAGGCAATCACAAAGGTTCTTCCAGGCTTTTTATTTTTTTTTTTAAAGTCCCTATCATACAGCTAAGCTATGAAAACAGACAGCAGGGCTGGCATTTCTAAGCAGATATTTTACTACTTAAGTAATTGTATAGATAAAACTATACCAAATCAGAGTCTTCCTAACCTTTCTTCAGATCCTTAATAAAGACAGACTGGAAAAGTCAGCCCCAAAATACAGTCCAGTAGCTTCTTTCTTGCCAGCAAGCAGACTGCCTTCTAGAAAGAGGCCAAAACTTTCCACCGGCTCTCACTATTTCCAGCTTTCCCATGCTTTAGAGTCATCATTTGGATACTTGTACTTCCAGCTTATGCACCAGCTAATCGAATCATAGAATACCCCAAGTTTGAAGGGACCCATAAAGATCATAGAATCACTGAGTCTGACTCCTAGGTCTGCAAAAATCAGGTTGATGATGGTGGTTCCCAAGCCCTGGAGAAATCCCATATTTATGGGTGTTGAGGGTAACCACTGTAAGGTAAGCTTGTTGGAAGTAACCCAATTTCTTTAAGGTACTTATCTCTTATTTACACCAATGCTGAGGGCAGAGCCACCAACTGAAGTGCAAGAAACAGCATCCAGAGCTGTGGGGAGCAGGGGGAGCAGTCACACAGCAGCGCTCCGAGGAGGGGCACAGGCTGTCCTTCAGGAACACTGGACAAACACTTAAGAAACTAGGGATGGAGGAACGGCTGTGAGCACGGTATTACTTTACATCATCTAAGTAACAGGATCCTGATTCATACACAAGTGCCCTGCTGGGTGCTTTAGTCCAACTAGGCACGCCAACACTTAGCCCCTGTGAGACTTACCTGCTGTTGCCTTCTAGGTGGCAAAGCTCACGGGTGTGTTCACCCCACTCAGTAAAACTGGAGTCCAGTGAGTTCCACTCCCGCAACCACAATCACCCTCAGCATCGTACAGATGCACCTCTTCTTTTTTTTTTTTCCCCTCTCTCCATCCCAAGCATCCACATGAAACTATTTTTGTTTATGCTGGTGAGCAATTTCATTAAAAGGGGAACCTAAGATGGTGAAAGAGGCCACTTCCCCTCCCTTCCCCCCCAGTAAGGCTAGTCCACGTGGATATCAGGAGTTTCAGAGACTTCTGTGACATGAAATTAAGATAAAGATTGAGAAAAAAACAGCAGCAAAACTTTTGGGGTAGAACACGAAAAAACGCAGGACGAAAGATGCCTTAAATAAAAAGTTCTTAATTATGATTTCAAGGCTGCAAAAGAAAGTAAACAATGACTTATTTTGTTGCTGGAGTACTCAAAAAAGAAAGCTCCACCCCAAAAGAAAACAAGAAAATACCCCACCAGGTTCTGCTGCCCACAGAAGAACACCATGGGAAACAGCGAACCACTTTGATCAAATTTGCTACCCAGTGTGAATATCTGGCAAGTTTTGCGGCTGTAATGGGACTTCTTAAAGCCATATTATCCCGTCGGACTCTACAGTGGTACTTGAAATACTTCTTGAAAGCCAGAACAGCTAACCCAGCCACCACTGAGGTTAACAGCATGATTTCCACTGGTTTCGGTGAAAGTTGGACCAGGCTATAGCAGTAGTAACATCGTTGGAAGAAAGCACCAATGAAGTCTCTTTAATTTCTCTTCACAACAACAAGGTAACTACAAATCCCAGGAGACTGTATCATTTATGCCAAAGGATCATTTCAGTAACACCCACCCAAAGCTGGGTGTTTCTAGTAAATTAAGAGGGGATGAGTCCATAGAGTGCTAAGCAACTACAGTTCCCAAGCTCCGAACAAGAAGAAAGGAGTCCCCAAAGCATGGAGTTCATTAACCTAACCAGAGCATTACAAACATTGATTTTTAAGGCAATGCCAAGAACACTATTGCTTATACTGACACTGCATCTCTAGAGAGGTAAATTGCCTCACTTTTAAACATGCAACACACATCAAAGACAGCCCTAATGCAACCAAAGCACAGACAAAAGGGTAATTCAAATACATTTCCGTAGTTTAGGTCAAATGGATGTTTTAAAACACAACAAATGATGTTCAAGTCCTGAGGTTTCAGTTGTGAGGCTACCCTAAGGAGCCAGAGCCCACACCTGGCTGTGACTGGTGGCAACCCAGGTGCAAGCACTTCCCCTCAGGGGTGAGGCCTCCGTGGGTAAGGGCAAGCCACCTGCACACACAGACAAACCCTTTTAACACCCTAGTTTTGTACTTAGGGGAATCATTCCCATAACTGTAATACAACAAGAAGCCCATCTCATTCCATACAACCTACAAAGCAGTTTATAAAGCTGAAGGCAGCAGGCAGGACCTAAGACATTTTTCTCCAGCACGGTTAGTGTTAAATGAGTATCAGAAGACCTGAAAATTTCTTCTCCACACAGACCTAAAGTACATACAACATACCTGAAAGCTGGCTGCTCATCACTGCTAGCAAGTGGCCTTTAGACCAGTCCCAAAAGACTTGGAACAAGAGCACCCATTCCAGGACAACAGCAACCTGTTGCACCACAAGCAGAACAGCACCTGGCTCTTCACCACAGACAATTTGCTAACTGAAATCAGGTGTGCAGGAGCCCCCCCCCTCCCCACAGACACACCTGGCCTTACTGCACCTCCTTCCTGCTCCCTGCCAGCCTGGCTCGCAGGGGCAGGGAGCACCTGAGCACACAGGTGCTGCCCAAGCATTGCTGTAGCTCAGTTATCTTTCTTTTTTCTGCTGCCCCTCCTCGTAACAGTGAGTTGGAAATAATTTTCCCCAAATTATTACAGGTTTCTTACCTTGGCAACACCTATTCTGGGGCTGCATAGCTGGAAAGAGGCAAAATTAACTTTGCGGTCCTAAGGGCATGAAGACCACCTCCAGCATCCCCTCCCCTCGTACAGAGGGGATGGTGCCACTCATCCGTGCGTCTTCACGAAGCTCTCCGAGGTTTTTGTGTCCCACGCTCCCGGGGATGCCCGGTAACTCCCCTCGGGCTGTCACTCCCCTTGTTCTCGAGCAGCCTGCCCCTAAGAGCAGCCTGCCCCTACCTTGCCTTGCTCCAAGGGGCCGGGCGAGGCTCCCGGTGCCGTGCCGGGCTTGTCCCGTGCCTGTCCCGGGGCATCCAGCACCCGCTGCCCCGCACGGAGCTGCTGAGACGGAGGCGGGCGCAGAGCGGGGCTTTGTGACTTCCCTGCCTGCTACAGCGACGTGAGCAAGTGCAGGGCTCTTGCAGTCTCTCGGCTGAATTTCGCTGGTAATGCTCACTGTAATGTGGTTTTAATGTCGCGCAGCTGAGACAATGAAAGCGAGCAGTGTTACCGACGTGCTTACCCTCTTTCCGCTGGGGTTCGGTTTGACCTGCTGAACTTTGCAGGGATGGCACTGAAAACAGCGGGTGGTCTCCAGGCACGATCTTCCTGCTACAGGTCCCGTCTTTCTCTCTCCTTAGCTTTCCACTGCAATGAAGAAAAAAAAAAATAAAATAAAAAAAAATGCAGAGGGAGGCTTGGATCAGGTTGGTTAAACCTGTGTACAGGTAGGAGCTCATCTTAGGCTCAAAATGCAGCTGAGGTCAGAAGTCACAAATTAACTGAATAGAGCCTGTGCAATTCTTATTTATTTATTTATATTCAGTAAAGCTGACCTCATGGGCTTCTACAAAAAATCAACTTTGATTTTTAGAAAAAAAAAAAAATTGGCTAGAGGGTCCCCAAAAGAACTTTGAAACTTTAGAGGGTCCCCAGATGATTTAATATCTGAAACACCTTTGGCTTACCTAGCAGGTTGATGCCTTCCTTTCTCTTCCAGGTTTGCCCTTTGATTTGGTGCAGCAAAACACTTTGGAGGAGAACATGGCAGTTGACTGCTGTGAAATGTAGTAGGCAAATTAGCAAATGTTCTGTTTTTTCAAGTTCAGTAATGCCCAGCTCAGGTACTTGTAAATCACAATAGCTGCAAAATAAAATAAATTTAATTTAAAAAAAAGAAAAAGGAAAAAAAAAAGAAAGAAATCACCACACTACTATCTCTAATCATTAATTCGGGGCTCTTCAGAGGGGTATCAGAAACTTTATGCTACAACTCACAGGGCTTTTCTCTTGCTGTGGTTCTCTTGAAATCAAACCAGCTGTAAAATACTGCCTACCTTAGGCTTAAAATAGCTGAAACCACCAAGTTTCCTGTGGTTTTACATAAAACCATGCACTTTGTGATGAGTGCCTACTGTTGTAAAACAAGAGTACGGGGCATAGCGGGCACCCCAAAGGCTGTAGTTGTCACCCCAGCAAAAGGCAAGTGCTGATGAGAGCTCAGAAGGACCTGAGGCAGGCACAGAGTAAATTGGATTTGTTTCTGTTCTCAGCTGCATGGCTAGTTCCTGTGACTTTGTGAGTGGATTCACAGCATTTCAAGTTTTATTGAGCTGAAACTCCCAGAAGCTGAGCAGCTAAACAGAAATTGCCACTGGGGAAAAAAAATACCTAGCTCTCATCCATGTGAAAATAAGTTTAGAAGTACAGAACGGGTACCCACAATGACCATGTACCACCAAAAAGGCTAATCCATTTTTTCCCTTGATTTTATGATTTTAGGATATGCACGTGTTTGGCATATGCATGCATGGCAGGGCAGCTGTCACAAAACTATTCAGTGGTACCTCCTATGTGCAGTAAATAAAATGCAAAAGACTATTCCTTCTGCCCCTCACCAAACTAGTTAGCATCAAAGTCAGCATCTCCAAAATTTAGCATCTGATACATATTAAAAATACTTACTTCTATGGAGACGCTGTATTCTGGAACTTCCAGTGGACTCACATTTGTGACAAATTCCAGTTGTCTTTTGATTTAACAATGCTAAATGCTGGTTGATATTCTCTCCTGTCAGTTAAAACCCAACAGTCTCCAGCAATGAAGAGAGGTATTCCAAGTCTCTTGTCCTATGTCAAACTGCATTTATATACAGGTTAACTACAGGAAGCATTTCCAGATTCAGCTGAAAACAAAGGACAGGCTTCTCTCACCTGTCTGGCTGACGTTCTTAAGATTTCTGGAAGAAAAACACAGATTTGAAAGCAGCTTATTTCCAGGTCTCCCCATCAGGTCATTTGCAAAATAAAGCCCAATCGCTGCCTTCCACAGAAATCCTGAAGCAGATGAGGGGCCCTGGAATGTTAGAGAGAGCTAATGACCCCTTCTGCTGGAAGTAGAGGAGCTGGTGCTTGATAAAGCTCTTACTGGCTTATTTTGATTATTCTGGTTATCTAAATCTATATATACACATCATACCCATAGCAAGCAACCTCACTTTACCTGGTCACGTTTCCTTTTCAGAAGATCATGCCACAGTTCATTTCAATCTTCTGCAGATTTTTCCATGTCTATAAAGCGGACCCTCCTTGTAACCTTCAGAAACACAGAAGCTGTGGAAATGCAAGACCCTGTGCTCTACGCTCATTCTGCCCTGTCAGGAAGCCACTGAGTCAATAAACCTGGATCTGAAATACTCTCTTCTTTACTGCCTTGGTTCAGACAGCCTTGTACACAGCATTGGTTTTGTGAACGCATTGCCACTGCCGTGCCCAGTGAATACCATGTTGACTGAGGTCAGACTTATCACGGATACAGTCCTGAGTAAGGACTACATTCCTTTCATCATTGTAAACCCTGACCTGAATGTGGTTTTGGATATCCAGCCCGATTATCAAATACTTTTGGGGTTGCGCTCCCATTAAGAACGCAATGCAAACGGAAGGGAGATTGAGACAAGAATTATTTAAATGAAATAGTCATACTTGTATGAGGATATATGGGTGAACTTTGTTCTGCCTGTAACACCACTGGAAGGTTCATGAGATTGCAGCGACTCTAGCCTGACATACTACTGTATGGCAGACAACTCTTCACTTTTTCTCAGTTGGAAGTATCTTCTACTGCATGATTAAAATAACATTAAAAAAAGGTCTCATCTCACTAGACAAAATGCCTTTTTAATGGGACTATACTAGGTATCTTTCCTTACCAGTGTGGGAACTTCAGAAATTATGACACCTTGATAACAAAGAACATGTTTGCCAGTGCTTGGTGGTTCATTGCTGACTGAAGCTGTGTGTAACTACAGATGATGCCACAGCACAGAGGGGAATGTTTCTATCCCAGAGGCAGGGAGCCTCAATCCAAAGCAAGGTGTCTGCCCAGCAAATGGCAGTGGACACATAACAATATTAATCTTCCCTGAACACTTTCCTCTGTGATAAAGAATCTAGCTCTGAAACCTCTCCATGAAAAATTATTATAGGTAAGACCAAGTCGCTGTGTTAATCCAAATGAGAAAAAATAAAATACATTTGAAAAAGGTTTCTCATTGTGTATCAGTTTATTTGTATAGATGAATGCCCCTGAATGATGCTAAACATGTTGGTGAGACAGCATGAAGTCAAATGATGTCATTCAGTCCCAATTTTCTTCAGAAAATCAGTTTTGTATTATTACATTCTGTGCATATAATCTTAGCTGAAATCATGCAGGTATGATTCGCGTGGTGAGTAAAGGATGACAAAAAGCAGCAAAATCAGGGGCAGAAAAGTGCACACTGCCTTTTTTAAAAGCATTTTTTCTTATTTTTGTAGTCCTGGAAAATCTTTTTGAGAATGAAAAAGATCACAATAGCAAAACAGAACAGGTAATGGTTTTGGAAAAAGTAGAAGGCCAGATCCTTTACTGTATAAATAACATGAATAAAGACGAAACAGTACAGGAACAAGGCATACTGGTTTGGGGGCCGGAGTAGATCTTGCAGTCCTTGGCTAAACTGTGGAAAAAGGAGAAGATATACATTACGCTACTTGACTCTATTTCACTCACACCCAGTCCATGTGCTTCCTTAAGCAGACCTGACCCACTGGCACACTTAGTTCATAAAAAGTGACTGTGAGATTAGGCGTGTGAACTGAGACCAAATCAGCTATTCTGTTAAATAATAGGTGTCACATTCGCACCCATAACCTTAACACCAGCTAGGTTTTCTCTAAAGATTAGTGATCTTGTATTTACTGCAAGAAAGAATCTGCAAATATGTGGAGTAGTTCATGTGAAGTAAGTGCACACCCATGGTAAAACTTCTGTGTATCCATCTCTGTATCTGTGGAACAAACTGTACCCTGTGCTTTTTTACTTTACTTGTACTTTCAGGTCTTAATAAAATAATAAAATAAATATAAAATAAAAATAAGAAAATAAAATAATAAAATAATTCATTAGTTAATTTCTTTAGCCCAGATGCATGTCATTTAGCTAAATACATGGCCTGACCCCCATATGTATTTCTCTTAATTGTCACTGCAGTTTCTTCAGCTATGCTTAAGTGAGATCCTATCTAGAAATATGGATTACTATATCAAAAAATATATACATATGTATATGGAAAATTTTAGGGCTTTTATGGAGTTCAGCAGAGTGCCATTCTTGTGCATGACCTGAGCTGTTTCTATGTACAACAACAAAAGTGCTACAAATACGTGCAAGAGAAGACAAACTTGCAAGTACCTCAAAACACTGATGATTTAAGTTAGATGCTGTTTATTCTGTAAATCAGTCCAATGACAAATTGCTCCAAATCAGAGAAGAGTCAGATTAACAGACAGCAAATGTGATCAGGAAAAGCCGAGACAAAGATTTGTAGCTGTCCCAAATCGTAGCTATTGACAAATAGTGTTCTCTTTTGGTCTGGACTGCCATTAGCAACAGACTAATTTGAATGTATGAAAACTTCATCTATTTTTGTAAAAAAAGGTTTGCAAAACTGATTGTCTGTAAAATTTGTATCATATGATTCTTTCACCCACTCATTTATTTATGCATTTGCATGTGCATATGATTTTGCATATAAATACACCCTTACGTAATATATATGTAATATGAGTATATAAATATAAATATATATTCTTTGCATATGCATATTATGTATGCATGTCTGAATAATCTAACTGTAACCCAGGAAATTGATCCCACTGTAGAAGCAGGAAACCAATCAATGTAGAGTTCAGATCGAGCCCTCTATCTTTTGGGGGAAAAAATAAGAAAAAAAAAAAAGTGTTCTTGGATCCTTACCTCATAAACTTAATTTGAGAATTACCTGCTCTTTACTGTATTTTATAGCAGTGAACTTTACTACAGTTCACATTCTAGGGAGTAGAACAACTCCACGCTCCCTTAGTACATGTACAAGCTTTAAGGAACATCTACTCAATCTAACTTTAAAAGTCACAGTACTACACAACACACAAAAGAATAAAACCTTACAAATTGCTTAGCAAAGAATGTGAATGTTTCAATCTCTATTGCGTTCAATCCTTTCTCCTTTTCCTACTTACTGATCTTTTCACTGCCTGTTGATGAATCTGCTCCATTCTCTCCTCATGAAGCCTTTGCTTTTCATTGTCCTCATGTTCATACTTCAGTTTAGCCAGCACAAAATCCCACCTCATCTTCTCAAGCTCAATATCAGCAGCTGTGACCTGCCTGCAGCAGAGCTCTTCCAGGTCCTCTGCATTGGTGGATCCTTCTGACTGCAAAGCACTGGTTCTTCCCTTCACATCCACATGTGCCGTATGGCACTTAGCATCCATGCTCTCACTTGCATTGTCTGAGATGAAAGATAATGTTGGCATGTCTACGACGTCTCCCTGTTAGAAATTGGAGAGAGGGATGATAAATTCTTACTCAAGCTGATAAATGCAAATGGAATAGGTTCATCTAAATTTACTTGAACATTTATTCAAGTGATTATTCACACATTTGCACGGTGACTCACCAATTCTCTTATATCCATCATCTCCTTTTGAAAAGTTTGTTCTTAGAGTTGGAAAAGAAATCTCACAAAAAGAAATCTTGAATGTTGTCTATCAAAATATGAAATATCTATCATATAAAAATTGTCTGATCCAAAAATTTAAAGAAAATTAAATATTTATTTATTAAATATTTAATTAGGGCCTGTGTGACCTGAATGAAATGCTACAGCTCTTTTGATCAAATGCAAGGATCTCATATTTCATGAATTTAATATAATCTATGAAAATGTGAGCTACTAATGTTCTTTAACTCTGAGAAGTAACTAAAATGTCTTGTCCTTCACTTTTCCTTTACAGACTCAGTTTCCTGGCTGATCTGCATCTTCCATGACGCATTACACCTAGAAGAACTGTATTTTCCACTTACCATCTTTTCTTGCTTCTGCTTCCTGTTATCATTATTCTGGGCTTCCCGTAATTTAAGATGAATACCTTTCTGATTTTCCTCTAGCGCATCCATAGTTGTTTGTAATGAATAGCCTGATCCCTCCAAATTGCTAAGTTCTTGCAAATTGCCTTGTATTTCCTTTGTCTTTAGCAGAGACCCTGGCTGAACATGGGAGACACCCCGTGACATTAAAGCGTCTTTCTCCAGGGATGTTCTGGAACAGAATGGGGGTATGTATGTGGTGACAATGAAGCAGGTGACTGGTGTGTAACAAAAGGAGTGGCTGTAAGCTAAATGTAGGCACATACACTTATGGCATGCTGGGCCATATACTGAAATGGCAAGGGGTTTAAGTCTCATTGAAATCCCATCATTTTCCTTGCCTAAATATGAAACAAACAAACAACAGCAACAACAACAAAAACACAACACATACACACACATACAAACACACTGTATGCAGATCTGCAGGTAGATCTTCTGAAGATCTTGTTTGTAGGCTTATTAAGACAAGAACTTGTCAGTAAATCCCTTTATAGTAACCAGTGGAGCTGGCTAGAGGCCCCCAGGAAGTGAGCCTGAATATATCACACTTCTTTAAAATGTGACATAATCAATAGATCTCTGCAGCTTAAAGAAGGATGGCTTTTCTTTCATGGAAATAAAACTTGACTGAATATCTACCCTAGACTGGGGAGTTTCTTACTGCCTCCTGCATGGGTGGATCACAGCTTGTAGGGTAGTCATTAGATAGAAGTCAATACCATCCTTTTAACCAGCCGGAGCTAGGTAAATGATTCAGCATGTGAACCCCTGATTCAGCCTCTGATTTCCAGGCTCATGGTATGTGCTACATTGTATGGAAGCGATACAATATATAGATTTCATATCTGATAAAAGATTTAGTCAAGCCAACAAACAAGGCAAACAAATTAATTTGTTTGTTACTGAGTTTGAGGAAGAGGAGCAAAAGAGAAAGAAAGTAAAGTGAGCTAAGTACCATGGGAAGGTGACGTCAAAAGAGAGGGGCAGGTACTAGGCTAACATAAGGTAACAACCACCTCTTCACAGGATTTCCATACAGAAACCTTGAAACCAGCCATCCCAATTCAAAGGCCAGGATGTTGTGGCTGCTGGAGGTCCTGCCCTTGGCTGACTTCATACCTGCCCTGTGACCTGTTGGCAAGGTGACATTCTGTCACATTCCTTGTTCTAATGCCAAGGCAGCATCCAGGTCTTCCAGGGGACTGAGCTTAACTTCTCTGTTACAGACCGTCCTATTTTCTCCACTATAAATACATTTCTTTGTCACAGTGAAGCTTTCTATCAGGATCTGTGGATTCCCAGGACGTCCCTGTGCCAAATCCAACTATCTCCTTCTGGAAAGCAGGTATATTGGATCAGGTGAAACACCACGCTGACATAGATAAACCATTTTGGTGCTCCTGGATAGTTTCTCTTCAAGGTGCTGCATGCAATCTGGTGGATGTATTCACACAGGGATCTCTACACTGTCCTCTATTCCCTACTGTAGATGCACCAGCATTTCAGTTTCCAGTCTATAAATCCTTGACTGGGACTGATCACAAGTTCACAGTGACCCTGTGGTACAGTAGAGGATGTCCTTGTAGTACAGTAATGTTAAGAACCTTGGAGAAAACTTTCTTATTTGCTGTTATTCATGAGAAGGAGGACAAATTTCTTCTACTGCTACTAGCATGTATAAAGCACCTTTCAGAAAAGTATCTGTCAACTGCAGATTATATCCTGTAAATAAACACAGCATCCTCAGTTGTTCTGTATCATATACACCAGTGCAAAGTCAGTATATCTGCTTGGTAGGTGATGTGTGGAGAGCTGCATGACAGATCTGGTTAAGATAAGAAACTGTAATGGAGTTGCTCAGACCACTTCCTGTTGCATCATTTATCAAGTGTTTGGTGAGTTTACAGATGTGTTTTCAAATCCCAAGGCACAGTGAATGCAGAATGACACACAGGGGGCTGGGATCCAGCATTAGTTTTGACTGAAAATATTAGACAACTTTTAATTGCTTTTGCTGTTGCCATTCTTTGCGCTGCAGTTTACGACAGAGACTCCAAAATCCTACTTTCTTTCATTTCCTTTCACAGAGTTGCAAGGACACAGCAGGGCATATATTTAGAAAGAGGGGGATGCCCATGCCTGAGCCAGATGTCTCTCTTCAGGATGTATTTCAGTATCTGAAGGTAACTTCTCAAGAAAGCCTCATGCATCTCATATGGGCATCCACTGTGTTGGAGGCCAAATTTAGAGCAGGATGGGATACGAGCAACAAGGCATCGTGAGCAAGTGCAAAGAACCCAAAATGAAGATATTTGATCTAAGCTGACTAGAACAAAGTTCTGTAACAGACACTGAGAGAAATGAATGAAATTATGGCCATGCTGAGCCCTATAGAGATAACTTCAGGGCAGGAGCTGTGTACAGTTCTGTTCAGAGGCAAATGCTGCTGGGCTGCTTCTTTTGAAGGTGCACCAGGTGTTCACCCATGCTCAGTCAACCTCATTGGCTAGAGAGAGCAGTGGAGGTGAAGTAATGGTGCTTTTTTTTTGGGGGGGGGAGGATTCTTGCTCTAGGAAATTGTCTCTGTGCTGTACAGAGACACCACTGACTGACCAGTTGTGTGGTTGCACGTCCTGCCCCTCACTCTCAACATATCCAGGTAAGATGGCAGAATCAGCTTGTGCTGGCACAAAAGCTTACCCACCCAGCCCCATCGGCCTACAAGCTGTGGGATTTGGATATCCCTGGGTTGCTGTAAGGAATGAACAATTTCAAAAATTAACATGGCAAATGAGATCAATGCACCCAACAGGCCAGAAAACAACAGGAAAGGAAGGAAACTGAGAACACCTCTACAGATCTCTAGTGCAGATGCTGAGTTTAAACATTATTTCTGGGTAGCAGAAGTTGCTGTCTACACACTTTCCCACTTGCTAACTTCATCTGTTTTCTTGCAAGTATATAAAGGGCAATACGAACACCAGTGTACCCTTAGGTAATGCTTTTGTGTCTTGGTGCTCCCATAACTCCCAGGATTTATCAGGGACATAAGAGCAGCTACTAGATCTCTCCTGGCATGCCTCTACAGCTTTTAGCAGCCACACAAGTCACAGAATGACAGTGCCGTGCTTCGCCTCAGTGCTGCCTCTCAGTACTGTCCGTTTTCAGACTGTCTGCTATGTTAACACAAAAAAATACAAGCTCCATGCAACAGGACAGCGTGAGGCCCTTGGAGGGGACATTAGTGACACAGAATGCTGCTGCTGATAGGACAGAGATAGGGTTCAAGTGCATGTAACTGAGGTTTGAGGCTGACTTTTTTGCTTCTGGTTTCTTGCTGGTGTCACGTTTTCTCCATGGGAGTGTGACTGCTGCCTGGGAATCCCATGTTGCCCTTGCTTCCTTTCTTGCTGTGGTTTGTGACTAATTTTTCATTATGAGAAAGATTACTCATTTATTTCCTTTACTGGTCAGTCTTTAGATCCAATAACTTAAATGGAGAGAGAAAAGATGTGCATGGAATTTGATCTAAGCTAAAATATATTTATGAAGAGAATGGAAGAGAGAGGCAGCATGAGCAGAAATCTCAAAAGAAAAAGGAAGAACAGTGGAAACATGGAAAGAGGATGGAAGATATGCACCAGCTGCCATTACCCAAAGGGGCAACAAAGAATATGCCAAGCAGCAAAGCAGCAACATCTCCTGAATGCAACTGGGAAATACAAAAAAAGAACTTCAGCTGACTCCACGGGCAGAGCAGAGATTTGGCCACAGCATGTGGGGACACAGTGGGGGACTTAGAAGAACCAGAGGCCAGGCTTTCCCCAGAAGAAGCCAGGTTTTCTGGATTTGAACCTGAGCTGGTTGCAGAAGCGGAAGAGCTACGAACCACACCAGCCAAAAGCATTGTAGCTTCCCAAAGCAGCATGAACAGGATTTGCTGCAGGATTTTTTTTTTTTTTTTAACAGTTGGCTCTGCCAAACTTTGTCAACACATCTACAGCTCTAGTCACAAAAGAAATGGAGTTCAGAAAAGCAACAGCTTGTAGATAAACACAGGAGAGGCAACAGGTATATGAATAACAAGCTAGCTCTGGCTATAATGATATGTGAAACACAACTTGGTGATGAAAATGGAAGTGTGAGTATTCTTTTTGACAGAAAATTCAGATATCTTTCTTATGAATACAGAGCAATGTAAAAGATTATTCCAAGGATGAATAATCCAGGCAGGTGTGCATGAAAGTATCACTGATAGCTTAAACTTTAGTCCAAAGCCTAAGAGACTTTAAAATATCTTTTTCTGAAGAGATTTTGCCAGAAAAATCACTCCAGATCCTGAAGGCCATACTTTGATGGCTTGAATATTTTGCAGCTCTGTAAGAAGCACTTGAAAATGGCATGTAAATGCAAATGGGACCTATCCAAACAAGTAGTTACTAACAGGGACTTGCATCAAGAAGAGCATTAGGCCATGCAGCTCTCACAAACAAGTTCAGACTTTGTTAGTAGCATGGCCTGACAACACTGGCAGTGTAAGGTACATTTTTCTTAAGGAAAAGAAAAACTAAGGAGATAAATACAAATCTAGTGATGGAATACAGACTGTGCTAACAGCTGCACTGGAAGAGTTTATAAAATAAATGGACCCCAGTTCTGTTCAGTTTTCAACAGGAACAGTTGAAAGCACCTTCAATGTTATTGTAAAGTAAATGGATGCACCAGACCGGGAAGATTCAAAGTGAATGAATGAAATTGTAGCTTTTTTAATACACCACTTCATCATTCTGCCAATGTGCATCCCAGGGGGATAGAAGTAGTAAATCCTGAGAAACACCATCTAAATTTCTAATAGCAAGAAAACATTTTTAATATTAGGTTACCCAGTAAGCAAAAATAAATAAATAAATAAAAAGAGACAGCAAGTTTTTAGACATCCTTTGATTATGATTACCTCTGTTTTTCTGGTAGTGCCTCTGGGTATTACAGAGCTCTCTGTGGTTCCAAGAGACAGAAACAGTGGGGTTAAATGGAAATAAAAAGTGGACCTTAAAAGAACCTAGATAATAGGCATTGGGAAACAACAGATCATTTTATATGATTCTGATTTTACCCTTTATAGTAGCAGAAAAGGAATCCAGTCTTTTCTTGGCTTTATGCCTATATCTCTCTGGTATGAATCATACTGATTGGTTAGAGAATTTTTTCTCCTTTATATGTTTTTATATTTTGGTACTCAGACACTGCAAGTTCCCACATAATAGTTAATACATGGGAATAGTCAATACAGCAGCTAACACACAGACAATCATCCTCACACTGTGATCACACTGGAGGTCTTGTGCAGGCCTTGATACAGTCAATCTCTGTATAGTGGCAACATCAGTAAGACCTCCAAGATGTTAAACATTTAAAAATTACAGACAAATGGTCAAGTTTCTCTTCTTCTGGTAGGACAACACTTAATTCAAGAAAAGACTTCATGTCTCAGCAAACTTAAAATATATGTACCACTGGTCAAAATGATGATAATCTGCATAGCCAAGCATTTCAAAAGCTAAGCTGCTTCCTTTATGTATTTTTTATCAATCCTGATGAACCATTTTTCAATTATCCTAGCTAATTGTGCTTCATTGATCTCTTCAGTGAATTTTGATGACTGCACAGAATACGCATGTTTGAATTTCCTGAAGATAAGCACAGAACACATGGGCTGTACATAATGCATGACAAAGACAAGAATACTTAAGGTGTGCTGAGAGGAAGTGGTCTAATTTTTCTGTCATCCTTTTTCTTTTCTTACCGCTTGCCTAATGAACTCAGAATCTACTCCTGTGTCAGCGCTGGGGTACTTCCTTTTCATGGGCTGATGAATCATGGTCTCCTTTCCTTGTGCACCAAGAAAATAGCTCTTCCTCCAGGGATCAGATTTCATCTAGAATAGATTAACAAAACTCATTTTCTTCCAGAGTCTGCTATTTTCACAGAATCACAGAATTTCTAGGTTGGAAGAGACCTCAAGATCATCGAGTCCAACCTCTAACCTAACACTAACAGTCCCCACTAAACCATATCCCTAAGCTCTACATCTAAACGTCTTTTGAAGACTTCCAGGGATGGTGACTCCACCACCTCCCTGGGCAGCCCGTTCCAGTGCCTAACAACCCTTTCAGTAAAGAAATTCTTCCTAACATCTAACCTAAAACTCCCCTGGCGTAACTTTAGCCCATTCCCCCTCGTCCTGTCACCAGGCACATGGGAGAACAGGCCAACCCCCACCTCGCTACAGCCTCCTTTAATGTACTTATACAGAGCAATAAGGTCACCCCTGAGCCTCCTCTTCTCCAGGCTGAACAAGCCCAGCTCCTTCAGCCGCTCCTCGTGGGACTTGTTCTCCAGGCCCCTCACCAGCTTCGTCGCCCTTCTTTGGACCCGCTCAAGCACCTCGATGTCCTTCTTGTAGTGAGGGGCCCAAAACTGAACACAGCACTCGAGGTGCGGCCTCACCAGAGCCGAGTACAGGGGGACGATCACCTCCCTAGCCCTGCTGGTCACACTGTTTCTGATACAAGCCAGGATGCCGTTGGCCTTCTTGGCCACCTGAGCACACTGCTGGCTCATATTCAGCCGACTGTCCACCATCACTCCCAGGTCCTTCTCTGCCTGGCAGCTCTCCAACCATTCCTCTCCCAGCCTGTAGTTCTGCTTGGGGTTATTGCGCCCCAGGTGCAGGACCCGGCACTTGGCCTTGTTGAACTTCATGCAGTTGACCTCAGCCCATCGGTGCAGCCTATCCAGATCCTCCTGCAGAGCCTTCCTACCCTCGAGCAGATCGACACACGCACCTAGCTTGGTGTCATCTGCAAACTTACTGAGGGTGCACTCAGTGCCATCATCCAGATCATTGATGAAGATGTTAAAGAGGACCGGCCCCAGCACCGAGCCCTGGGGGACGCCACTAGTGACTGGCCTCCAACTGGACTTGGCTCCATTTACCACAACTCTTTGGGCCTGGATTTTTAATCATCTGAGAATTTGGCCTTGAATATTGCACGGCAATCTGGAGGCACTACAGGTAAAGTTGTGTCATTTTACCTGACAAATAATGCTGTGACCCTCAAATCCAGATAACTTCTTAAATTGGCATTTCGTGGAATTTCAAAGATACCCAAGAGTTCCAGTAAGGAGATGATGGTTGAGTTTTTGTACAGGACTTTGAGGAACCATGAATGCATTTGGAATGTGAAAGGGCTTTTTTCAAACACCTGACAGGACCTTCTGCAGTTATTCCATGAAGTCTTAGAAATGAGCCTTGAAGAAACATAAGATTATTTGTAAAACCTGAGCTACTTTTGTTACTGGTTTCACTGCAGTCATCATATCAAGCACTCAAGAGTAAGTGAAGTTTTTGTATCCAAGTGAATTCTTCCAAGTTGTAAGCCCAAAGTTTTGGTTAGGTTCTGCGTCATTGATAGAGTCCAAGCTGAGGAGTGATCAGTACTGAAGGATGAATGCAATCTTTCTTCTGATGGCTTTGGGCCATGACTATAAGATATGGTTTCTCCTATTGCTTACGCCTACATTAGTTTCACGACTGCCTGCAGTTCTGTTAGAACACAGTATCCATTTAGAGAATGACTATCAACTGGCAGAATGTCATTTCTTCCCCCATGGATGTTGTTTGGGTGGTGTCTCATGTCTGAGGTACTGCTGATTTCCCTCAAGTTCTTTATAGCAAGTTTGCTGCATTGATTGCAAGGATAGAAGCACTTCCAATAACTGGCAAATCTCAGGTTTTTGAATTTTCAAGATATCTATGTTCAAATGAGATGATTCACTGAAGTTAGATTGTTTGATCTCTGCTTAGAAGATGTAGGATATACACTAAGTAAGATGCTGAGTAAGAAAGGAAATGGAATTATAGCTGTTGGGAAGCCCTCTCCAGTGGCCTGAAAATAGACAGGTACCATGCAGGCTGATAACAATCAGACCTGTGAGACACCATCATGGAGCTACTGCCATGATTTGGATAGCTGCTCTTGTTCTCCTCCTACCCTGGAGATGAGGTCATGGAATCATAGAATGATAGAACAGCTTGGGTTGGAAGGGACCTTAAAGATCATCTAACTCCACCCCTCCTGCCACTGGCAGAGATGCCACCCACTAGATCAGGTTGCCCAGGGCCCCATTCAGCCTGGCCTTGAACATCTCCAGGGATGGGGCATCCACAGCTTCTCTGGGCAACCTGTTCCAGTGCTTCACCACCCTGACAGTGAAGAATTTCCTTCTAATGTCTAGTCTAAATCTATCCTTTTTTTAGTTTAAGACCATTTCCCCCTTTTCCTATCATTATCGACCCAAGTAAAGAGTCCTTCTCCATCTTTTCTATAAGACCCCTTTAAGTATTGAAAGGTCACAATGAGGTATCCCCGGAGCCTTTTCTTCTTCAGGCTGAACATCCCCAGCTCTCTCAGCTTTGACAGAGGTGTCACAATGACAGCTGTACTTAGAAGTACCCCCAAAGTACTACTATTCACACTAAATGTCAGCTTACTTACTCAGCCTGTCCTATCTCATCCTATATGGTCATTACTGTCTTGGTATGGCATTAGGATTTGAAATATGTTTTTGAGTTATCAGCAATCCTCATCTGAAATATACAGTTACTGCTTCAGAGAGAAATACATCAGTTATCAAGTCATCAAGACAATATTTTTTCATATTTTGTTTTTAAAAATAGATGTGTATCATTTCAAAAAACTTTTTGGAATGGTGCTTTCCTCTTTCTGACTAACCTTACTGAACATAAATAATATGCCTGTCTTGATGTAAATATGTAGATGAGTCCCTTCTCCCAGGACCTCACAATATAAACCAAGGTCAGGATGATTCAGTTAAAAGCCCAAGTTGTTCCAGGCACAGCTCTACTTCTGTAAACGGTGCACAGTAGTTATTTACAGTAGCTGGCTTTTTTTTTTTTTCCCTCAAAAAGGAGGTGGAATTACAGTAAAAGCGATGGAACACAACAGTGATTCTTAGTCTGCTGGGTCAAAGTTAATAATTCAGAGGACACATATAGAGAGTTATTTGGGAGATGACTCTTGGTGTTTTAGAAAAGTAAGGCAAAAAAGAAGGCATGGAAATCCTTATAGGACAAAGAAACAAAAGAAGAAACAAGGACTGAATAAAGAAAGGGAGCTAACAAGTAGCTTTAAACAGCAATTGCTCCTGAAAAACAAAGCAGATTAATATCACCAGGGCTGAACTCCCTCATGGAGTAGCTCTGGGAACAAAGGACAATAGATGACTCAGAGAGGAGCAAAAGAGCAAAGAAATATTAACTGAACATAGACACTCTTGATGTCAAAGGCAGTCTCTGTCTTCAATCTGCATTTGTGTGTACTGCATGGGTGAGAAGCCAACACAGCTCCATCCCCAGGCACGCATCCCCTTGGCAGAGCGTAACGCTGCTAACGCCACGTCTCTCAGCTCCCTTCACATTCCCCCAGCAAGTCAGACAAGTCCTAGAGAACATTTCTCTTCTGGGGATTTACACTCTCTAAAACACTTACCAAGCAACATGGGATTACCCATCCAGCCTTCCCAGCTGGCTCAGGGTCTTCGCACTGAGTCCTTAATGTAACTCCTGCTGAGGTTTTCTACCAGCACAATTCATCTTTATCATCCAGGCTCTAAGCCTCCTTTTCTCCCAAAGGCAAACACAGATTCTCTGTCAGCTAAAATCTGCAGGTAAACTGTCTATGCACACCCCTTTTCCAAGAAGTGACTCCCAGAGCTTCCCTTTCAAAATGTCTCTGCGGGATTGAAGAGCTGCTCTCCTAATCTGAACAGGGAGGTTTCTAGTGGTAAGCACTCAGCCCATTCCTCAGCTTGGCTGCTGCAGCTCCAAGCAGTCACCTCTTCAAATGGCAACGTCAGGCAATAGTGGAAAGGAGAGGGGAAGCATATTACAGCCCATACAGCAGAACTCAAGAGTGATGCTGACCATCACATGCAGTCCAACCTCCTTTACCCCCCAATTTTAAAAATAACGTGAGAAAAACTGTCTTACAGAATAAAGAAGAAAAGTGCTGTATCACCCCAAAGTGACCTGCTGGGGTTGTCATTCTTCTTCCCAGACAAATTACTCAGTCAATACAATAACAGCAAAGAAAACATGTCATTCTGACATCAGGCTTGGCAAACCATTCTGGAGGGAGTCCAGGAATGGGCGAATGGGCTGGAACAGCCAGAGATGTACCAGCATGAAGAGATTGGGCTATACAGACAAGGGCATAACAAACTTCAGGGAAGTGGCTGTCACTGACACAGTTTCAAATATTCATAATATGGGGAGATGGAGCACGGGCAACACTTGAATTGTCTCATGTTCTGTGTCTCCAGTCAAACAGCAATGAGGCTGCTCTGGGGTGAATATGTAATTGGAGAGCAGCAGTCTCTTGGAGACTTCTCTCCATTACTGAGCTTTCCGCAGAAGCACTCTAGGTTCAAAAGGGAGCTGTGTGGCTGTAAATAGCACGCCTAATTATAGTCTATACTGCCTAGGTCGCCATATAATATATTATCAGTAAGCAGAACCAGGCAGCAGCAACATGGCTTCATTCACATAATTGAGGGATGATCATAAACTTACTCTTAGACACAATTTAGCAAGAGAATGAGACGGGGTTCCCTCCCCCTCTCCTCCCGCAGAAGGTGCATTATCTCATCTAAAGCATGAAAAGGAAATGGAAACCCATAAAAACCAGACTTGGTGAGAGAGCAGAGAGCATCTGCTGCAGCACTGGGCCACGTGGCCTCCAACTCATCAGGTGAACAGGATATTTGGTGTTGGTAGACAAGCTGAGCATGAGTCAGCAATGTGTCTTCATGGGGATGAGGGCCAACAGCATAATGGGCTGCACCAGCAAAAGC